CATTTCCGATCTTATCTAATCAGATTACTGTTGTTGGTCGCCCCCACACAAACTTAGCATTTCTGTAATGGTTCCGCTAGTGTAGCTAAACCCGGCATATAATGAGCACTAGAAACCAAACCTGGGGGTTTCGAAATTTTAGTGTCTTTGACGGCTTGAACACAATTAGCGGTTGAACTGATACCTTTCTCGGATAATAAGTGTCCCATGATCTCAAGCTGTGAAAGACAGAACTGCAACTTTGTTTAGGATCAAACCTTTCTCTTTCGGACGGCATAAACAGTGGTGTAGTGCTAAACAAAGAGTGGGGGAATGCGTATTGAAAGTATTACCATTATTAGTGTGTGTGTGTGTGTGTGTGTGTGTGAGTGAGTATTACGTCACCTATACATAAACACATTTCAGAGATAGTAGCTGTAAATTGCAATTGAAATCTACATTTGAAAATGTTAGTTAAAAAATTACTTTTCTCACCTTGAACTTATGAATTCTTTGATAACAGAACTTCCAAACTTTGTCCATAGCGAGTTCTTTGGACTTGGCTACTCTTGTTCGTCCACCAGTTGCTGAACGATGACACCTAAGCCATTTGTATACAGTAGTCTTGTTTCCAGTTTTGAATCGGAGAGCTGTAAAATTTAAAGAACACGAGATTTGTTACTTGGTTGATTAACAGCCTAAACCTCGCTTCCGTAATAAGGTTCATGCTGCTAACGCCTCCTTTGCATTCTGAAGAAATGCATGGGATGACTTCTACACCCTATTAAATAATTCAGATCTGATGGAATATGGCGCCCATAGTTGTCTAGAAAGTCTATGCACGCTGCGATTGTTTTTGAAAATAGCAATCTGAAACCTTTACAAAAGGACCATTTCCTTTTCACCAAAGCCTGAATTTATCTTTGTTGGCCACTTTGCTGACTTCTAATGCATGGAGCTCAGAAATTATGCTAGGAATGGAATTAGGAGTACCTGGCCGTGGCCCAGTTTGTTCACGAGAAGTTGCCGTGAATAACCGTTGTTTCATAGTGTTTATGATATTGGTTTAAAATTGACTGCGATTGAAACAATCTTATTATCTGTCAAAGTTTTTGATGCAAACTTTATTTCCTTAAGTATTCTCTGCTTCTAAGACCCTTTTTACCCTTGCATTCCTTCATTGTTTCTAAAAATCTTATGCTGCTATGAATTAACTTGTGTGCATAAACTATAGTAATATCGCTTTTCTGTAAGGCTTCTAAAGTGATTAGCAAGAAGGCTAAGTTAGAAATACTAGCTTAACCAAAACGGGCCGTATTTATTTTACTGGAAACTAAGTATTTATTGGTTAGTGTGCAAGTATGGTAAAAAAGAAAACAAGATGTTCATAAGCTCTTACACACTTTTACACTTGTACCACTAAATAAAGCCGATAAACCCCATCCCACTGTGTTTTCGAAGCCGGGAGAATTCTGGGAATTGCGCCACATGAGCTTATTTGCTATCTACAGTGTCAATGTACGTGTCAAACAATAATGTCAAGAGTGGCGATTCATTGCTTTATTTTTGAAAGGTTTTTACTTCAGCTGCTAACAGTAAAATTAACATAGGGAATAGTAGTGAAAATATTAGAAAGTAGACATTCTCAGGAGATTTACTTTGGAGTTTCGTGGCCTATACTGAAAAATCGCGACAGTGCTATTCATTTTGTTTCGTGGAGTTTCTAAGTCAGCTGCTAACAATATAATAACTACAGAAAAGTGTGAAAAGGAGAGAAGTACAAACTCTGACCACAAGTTGTTTGGAACTTTGTGATCAATACTAACAAAACTACATATTTTGAATTTTGCAATATATTCTTTCATTATACTTTGTTTACTTGCCTACACCCTGGATGAAAGGGTTAATTATTCTCTTCTTTCTTCTAGGGATGGACAAACCTTCATGAAGTTTAAGATTTGAAAGGTCGGATTTGTTTGAAATAGTGAGGGAACGGCATTTCAAATAAAAAGAAGTTAAAGGAATGCTGTTCCCTTTCATTCCCAAACCCCTACACCACTGAGCATAAAACTTAAGCCTCTGATTATGCTCATTGCAAGTACACCCATATACGATATCATCATCCGAGATATTCTCAGCACCTTCACATCCCTGCAAAGTTTGCCTAATGATGTGCTGATAAGTTTCGGGAGGTGAATAAATACACAAGTCGTTTATAACGATAAAGACCTTTGGAAGTGACAAATGTTGTGATGTCTCTGGATTTCTCAACCAGCTCGACCTGATTATAGCTACAACAGATAGCTAGTTTATTGAATACAGTCGCGCCATTCATGTTGGGCAACACCTTATCTTGGGTGGGGATGGATGTCTCATGCTGCACTGCCTCATTAGCTCTCTGCTTATCTATACATAGCTTTATCTCACCCAAAGGCTTAGGCACGACAATCATTGACCTAATCCACCAAATAGAGCTTGATATTTTCTTAATTGTATCCTTCTCTTCTAGATCATTTAATTTTTCTTCCACTTTGAGGCAAAGTAAACGGGATTCTACGAACTGGTTGTGCCACAGACTTCACTTTCTCAATGTTATCAATGGACAGTGTTGATAACCCATGCTCAACACCTATTGGTAGTGCAGTATTATAGCATAACGACAATTGATCAGCACCTTTATCTACAAAAACTAAAAAATAAACTCAGCTTTAATCACTTTGCTATCTGTAGGTTTAACAAATAACTTCAGTGATTTTTTTCACTATTTCAATCGGAGTTTTATTTCCATACACAGGTTTTTGTGAATGACACTAGGTGTGCATGAAATACCACATTGTCTGAGATAATTCCAGACACTTTCATTAACAACAACAGAATTTGCGCCCGAGTTTAAGCATTGTCAATGGAATTCCACCAATTCTATAGTCGAAGTATTGTCATTACTATTCAACAAAACACATTGCCCCCCCCCCCAGTGGCACAGCGGTATGTCTGCGGACTTACAAAGCCAGAAATCGGGTTTCGATACCCGTGGTGGGCAGAGCACAGATAGCCCTTGTGTAGCTTTGTGCATAATTACAAACAAAACACATTCATCTTCTGACGACTCTGCACCATCACGCAAATCATAATCAGTCATACAATTCTCCTTTCTTACGAGCAGAATGGTTATCCCGTTTAGAGAAAGTCAGTTCTGCACATAGTCGCGAGTTGCCCTTGAAAGTGACATTTATTGCAAAGCTGGTCTTTAGCCAGGTAGCAGTTGCGAGATATGTGATTTGTATGATCACAGCAATCACAACAAATCAGTGGCCCTCCTTTAACAAAATGTTTTCCATATTGGAATCCATCCCAGACTTGATGTACTGTGTTTATTACGCTAGCTCGCCGATTATACGGTTTCTATCCCATTATAGTCTGTCCAAGCTGCCTACTGGTCTGCTATTTCTGCTGCTCGACCGATCTCTAACACCTTTTTTAAAGTTAACTTTGTCTCAACAATCTTTTATACAAATAGCGAGATTTACAATTATCTATAACTTGATCCCGTAAGTCATCATTTAAATCTTCATACTCGCATGATAAAACTAACTGCCAAAGACGAGTAATATTACTATCAATATATTCACCATCTTGGTGAACAGCTTGTCGAAACACGCGTCTTTCAAGAACACTATTTTTCAGCGGCTTAAAATAATTGTTAAACTTACCCAAGGCTGTCCGATAGATATCTCCCCTGTCTGTGAAGATCGGGATAATGTTCTAGCACGCTGATCCGATTACGTAGAGAAACAAAGCTCTTTTTCGGCGCCGCATTCGTTATGCCTGTTGCAACCAAATGATAGGTGAACTGCTCTTTCCAGCGTTTCCACCGTTGAGAAATACTGTTTTGGTTCATAAAGGCTCAAGTGAAGTCAAATTTAATATTGTAGACATAATTGGCTGGAAAATCGAATTCTATCCTCGTCACCAAATGTAGTGTTTTCTCAATAATAATAATAATAAAACTCACAGAACATACTTATTTAAGCACTTATTTTCCCAAATGCCTATCCTAGCAGAAACAAAAAAAAAAAAAACTAGTCGTATATAAGCAAGAGTGGCGCTAGTAGCGCAAACAAGTCTTTTGCATAATTGGTACTGAATGAAAACATTATACATAATGTAACACATGCTGAGCCCTGAGAAACTGGGTGAGACCATACCATTTTGACTTATGCATAGGGCAAGGCAGTGGAGATGGTGGTGGTGGTATTGATGCTAGTTCATATTTCAATCGATAAAGTCCAGCTGCACTTAGTGCAACTGTGCTAAGGTATTATAAATTGCTAGTTATAAAAGTTGTATAACACTCACATCTATAAACTGGTAGACGTGTTAAGATGTTTATAAGAGTAAATTATAATAATCCGCCCATCCCTATAAAAAAAAAAAAGAAGAATGGAACGGACCAGACGTAGTACTGCTGCAACATGCTAGAATAACGCATGCCAATAAAATTACAACGTTATGTTACGTCGTTCGTGAGACTTAATCTGGGTAATTGATATTAATGTCAACTTTTATAAATTTATACATATGATTGTGTGCATGTAATTAATACTGTTTACCAGCGCAGCTGATGTTAACTGGCTTAGAAAACTGTATCGACTGCTATGCCTTTTACTGGCTAGCTGAAATATTATGATGCAAGTAGCGGCGAATACTAAATAGTGGTGTCTGCTCTCAAGTCTATAGACAAGATGGGAGGTGTCAAATCAAAAGCACCCACTGCCACTTTTTGAGATACTTTAACAGAATATTGGAATTTGATCATTACTCATATAACACATTCATGGCCCTAAAGTGTGGAGATGGATTTTGTGGAAACAGGACGCAAACCGTGAACTCTCAGATTTACAGTCCGGCGCGCTAACCATCAGCCCCTGTCCGGTCCTTCTATGTTTCTATTTTAATCATTTTTGTATTTTCTAACATTTTTTATTGGACCAATTTATGATTAGAGGGCGCTGTTATTTAGTGGTGGGCACGTGATAGGCTTTCAAATTAAATGAATGGTAGCTCAAGTATCTGTGATATTGATATCATATTTGTTTGTTCGTATCATTAACTAATTAAGGAAAAATGCGCTAAAATGTTATTTTTGGGTGTTATATTAACCTTTCGACTCTTATTATAACGAAATAATGGGTACTAGACTATATTTTTGTTCTTTAGTAGTAATACTACCACTAGTGGAATTGGAAACAGTGAAAGATAAAATATTCTATTACTAATACTTGTAATACTATTAGTAATAGTATTAACATCTCTGAGTCCAACTTTTTTACGCCTTGGAATTGCATCTGATTTCGTCTTTGTTCATTTAAGTGCAAGTCAAGTTTATCCCACAAGTTGGAACTATAGTTTTGTAACTTTGATATCGAAGCGTAAAGTTAAGGTCATGTGGTATTCTCAAGATTCTTCAGAAATGCCTGTTGCTCAGGATATTTTAAGCGTTACAGCCAGTTTTAATCAAAGGGTAAGACTTAATATTTAACAGTTAACCCCACTAGGAGTAGAGTTGAACATTGCTTTCTTGAAGTTTTTGATCTGTACTTCAGTCTCAACTACTACTAGTAATAGTATTACTATTAGTTGTAATAAGTACTACTCTAGTATTATTAACTCTCTTACATAGGGAATGGTTATTTTTCTTAATAATAATTAAAATATTAAATGAGAGATGTTGTACCTGTTTGAGTTATCATAAGTTTTACCTTCTTTTTTCTTTTTTTTGGTACTCTAACTGGAAATTTTCAAATGATGAATTTTAAGAAAAGTTCAAGACTAAGATGGTACATCATGGTCTAATTCAATAATTGTATAAACTTTTTCAAATTAGACCTTATTAAATAAGTAAATGTTAAGCTATCATTCTTTGATATGTTATACTGCATATTTTATTGTTGGTGATATATTTCTTCAGCTATATTGCTTATAAATTTGCTAAAATTATTCCACTCAATGAGATCATCCCTCACCTACCAAATTTCAAAACTAAATTGAATAGTCTCTTCTTTTCAGTAATTAAAAATTGGTTGAACACATCTTAAAATAAAATAATAATAATAAATGTAAAATTGGGGATGTTAGGGGAGGGGGAACTGAAATGAGTTAATTATATTTGTAAGTGATATTGTGGAATTATATGGCTCAAAACAAATTTTTAGCTTAAAAGTAAAAATCAAAAACTTTCAGGTTATAGCTGGAAGAACTAGTGGATAAATAATGAATACATCAAGTATTTTACCGTAAGTCATATTTTCTGAATTAACCAGGTCTCAGTTTAAAGTTTTGAGCAACAGTTGTAATATTAAATTTGCATATGTTGGTGTCATATTTGGAGAACATTCTTGATTAAGCAGCTGTTACAGTAAAATTAAATTGTAATAAATTTTTGTTAATCACACTTATATGCAGAAAGATTTTCATTAATATATTTCTACTTTCTTGTTTTTGTGAAGTCTCTGAGTGGCTTCACAGTTGTAAATGAGCTTTTGTAACAATTGTAATAGAAGTATCTGAGCTGTCACTTTAATTACAACATGCACATGCATTATTACATTCTTAATTTCAGTTTCATTGTTTTGGACGATCCTGTTCTGAGTGGACTCTACTTGTTTTATCTCTGTTGAACATCTTTGCTGTAACTGGAATATCTACTAAAGAGCTGTACTCGTCAATATCTCGAGGAATTTCGTATGATCCCTGCTTTACCTTCAGTGTAGCAATACTGTTTACAGCAGGTGTGTATACTTTATGCAAACATGTATGTTTGTATTGTGAATAATGTTATATTTAATGTACTTGTAATGTAGTTTATTTAACAAGCACAAGTTTTGTATTACTCACTTATGTGAGGTTAATTTTTGACTTATGTTCATATGTACCTCATTCTAATGTATTAGTAATTTGAAAAATGTTTTGTTGTTTTAAGGATACTTTTGATACAGTCTTACTTATTCTCACACAAAGCTATCTTGATCTACTTCTGCCCTCTAAGCATTGCTAAACAATTTTTGCAATCTGTGCACCAATATATACCCATCAATTTCTTGCCATTTCTGAAATTCCTGTTGCAGTCAAAGTTGAACTCACTTTCTCTGGCACCTTCTTATTTTGGTCTGTCACACTGTATACCTCTTCAGGAGTTTTCACCTTCCACCAGTTGCCATGTCATTCACTTTGGTGGAGAATTGTTCTTCTCCTCATTTCTTCTTATTGCTTCCAGTTCTCCAAGGGGATCTGTGGTAAGTTTTATAACATGTACACTTCAGACCTGGTTGATATACTCATGGTAGATGTGTCTCAGATGCTCTTTGTTTTGCTTTGCTCTTATTTACACATGGGAGAATTAAGTATTTCATGTCATCAGTGCTTGGACTTCAATTTGTTCAATATGTATGTGTCCTTTGCCATTTATGTTACTTTAGATGAATTGTAAGTTAGATATTAATTATTATTTTTTCCTTTTTTTTGTGAACTTAATTGTCTTGCACAGTTGTTAATATTATCTACTTTGTAGACTTTGCAAATTTTGTAGGTTTGTTAGTTATTAACTCTCTCAACAAGGGCTCAGTCAATTTGATCAACCACGTGACCTCTTTGTACTCATTTCAAGTCTCTATAGATTTAGTACTATTAACTTTCAAAATTTGACAATCTTTCAGTTAATATTATTATTTTTTAGTGAAGTATTTTTAATAAAATCAAATAAATATTTGTCCATGAATATATTGAGTATTTGTTTTGAATAGTCTGTGGGCAAAGAAATTTTCATGTTAAAATTAAAAATCATCTCAAATTTCCTTTGTGTAATCCCTAAAACCTTCTAATTCATTTCTAACGTTTTATTTCAGTAAAACTTTATAGTTTATGTTATTTTCTCTACCCTATCTCAAAATGGGATTGGTCAAATCAACCGACATTGTACCCACAAAAAAAATCTAAATAAACCTAAATTACCTCTTTTTTTTGAAGTCTATAAAAATTATGGTCTGTATGAGCAATAACGATTTTATAGAGTATTTTGCGTTTAATTTCATACATCTTCGAGGGGTGATGGATAAAATAGGGATGATGACATGCTAAGACAAAATGTGTCATATGGGTCACACTAGTGGAAATTCAGGATTTTTTAAATATTTCAATGTAGAATTAAGAATTTAAAACTTGTATACTACTAAAATATGATTATTAGCTAAGATTTTATGCTATTCCAATTGGTATAACATAAACAAAAAGTAGTATTATAAAATTTTGAATGTAAGATACTAAAACCTTGTGTCATGCTCAGTAAAGGGTACTCAGGGAGAGAGGGTTAAGCCTTTCCTGTCCTCTCTTTCAACCTTTGTCTTCATATACCATCTACCATCTCTCCCTCAAGATCTATTTCCTTATCCTCCTCGCTTGCAGATGTCATCAATCGGATATTTCTGTCTTTTATTTTACGTGCTTCCTCTACCATTCCTCTTATGTCGTGCTATATCTTGACTGGTCCTTCCTCCCTCAGACTTGTGCTGTTGGGCTTTCCCATCCACTTAATTTCCATTTCCCACTGGCACTCCCATTCAGATCTTGATCGCCTTATTTGTCCACTTCACTCCTTATAGTCTTATATGGCATATTGTGCCTCCTTTTGGGGTTCATGTTCCCAAGTTATACTTCCTGGAATCCTTCAGTTTCCTGTGTCCTATCCTCTTGTCACGTTAACTGGTTGGGTTTGTCAGCTCATTAGATTGGCATATCCATGGAAGGTCGCTGTCTTCACAATGTTTCTTCTCGTCATATCACCATATCTTTGGCTTTTTGCCTTTGCCATCCATTGGAGGAGATCATTCAGGCTGGAATGTGGACTAATCCAAATACCTTCACTGCTCATTCTCTGGCTGTATCTTCCTCTGGTGGATGTCATTTCCCTCCCGTGGTGATTCTACACACGTTCACTCTTTTTCACTGGGGTAAGTCTTATCACTTCCTTTCATTTATGTTTTTTATTTTCAGCAATCACTGATAATGGGATCCCACTCTGTGGTTGGTGTTGCCTGGTTAGTTATGCTTTGCCTCAAACCCACAATATTTACTGGTTGCACTATAATGCTCACTGTAGAGGTGGTAGTGTTTCTGCAAGACCACTGGTGGCATACCCAGTGGTGTGTGTTTCTAGATATCTGTAAATTTCACTCGATGATGGACTATCACTTGTGGACTTCATAAGTAAAGTAGAAGGGGATTTCTGCCCATCCCTGCTGACCCTTTCCTTGAATAAATTGGATTCGGTCTGCTTTTCAAAATGAGGAATTGTGGACACCCCTTTCACTTTCTCTGGTGTGTTGTTTTACTGAACTACCCACTACATTTACTTCCCCCCCCTCCTTTTTTCTTCCAGTAGAGCATAGGAGTCCTTACCACTCCCCAGTTCCCAGTTGCTTGAGTGGTGGATCATGGAGGCTTCCTCCTGAGTGAGTTTAGAAAGTTACTTTACCACATGTACTCATAATTATCCACTACTCCATGAGAAGAAGGCAAAGCTTTTTTTTCCCTCCTTCCATTTCCATGCCCTTTTCCAGGTGGACAGCTGTCCAAAGAAAAATAAGGGGGGGGGGTGAGCAGGTCCAGCCTATGTGGGATCCTCTTCATAATAACAGGTTCAGGACGACACTGCTCTGTTCCTATGGTTGTGTGCAGCAGAGCCTCCTCTTATTAATTCTAGTTGCAGGAGGTTCTTTGCCTGCTTCTGTGGTTGAGTTTGAGGGACTTTATATCCCTTGTAATGCCACAGGACGTAAGTACACTGTTTCTATGGTTGAGCAATTGTTCCACATCCTCCTCATAATTCCAGATGCAGGATGTCTTTTTCTCTGCATTTACAGTTGAGTAATTTGTGATTTCTGCCTGTAATACTGGTTACAGATATTGCCCTGTTCTTATGGTTGAGTTGAGGAAATCCCATGATTCTGTAATGCTAGGTTTGGTTTGTTGTGCTTTTTGGTCCTGCGGTGGTTTTGGGAGTTTGTCTGGTTTCAGACGAAAGCTAACTTACACTTCGTAATTCCGGTTGCTTGACATACGACACTGTTTACTTACAGTTGGGGTTGTTGAGTGTGTGTGTGTGTCTATATATATAATCATAGACCACCCTAGCCACAATGTTTATGTTACAATATATATTTTTTTGATCCTCAACATCTAATCCCAAAGATGAGTTATGGAACCTCATCTGTCCAGTTGTATATGTACATAGCTAATTATGTTTATATTTTACTATGGGTTGTGTCTCTTGGAATGAAATGCACTTGTGCACACCTTTTTTTTCCACCCATATCAGACTCATTTCCTACTTCAAGGGCGAATAGCATACTTGTTCCAGAAGTAGTGCTGTACCCCATAAGTGTGCTTTGTTTTCATCTTGGAGCATACCCATTCATTCTGGACAGTTGCTTTTCACACAGTTTCTATGTTGTGTGCTGAAACTGCCCCTTCCATCTTTGAAATATGGGATTCTAGCTTTGTGTGTGAGCGGAGGTAAGACTGTATCAGAAGTTAACATTTTTCTTACACTGTAAATGTATTTCCAATAGGTACTCTCTAATGGCTATTTTTTTTTTCTTGAAAGTGACAGTTGAGGGGGGGGAATAGCAGTGGGAGTTAGCTGCACCAATATAGGTGATGCAGTACTATTGGTGGAGAGTAGTTACATGATATGTACATGTTCAGAACTGGTGTGAAATTGATGGGGTATATAGACTGGTTTGCTGATCATGAAAGTTTATTATTATTATTTTAGCAGCAATGCCTAGAGGGCAGAATAAATACCTATCAGAAATACATTTTCAGTGTAAGAAAAATGTTAACTTTTGTACTTTATCTGAGCATGTATTGCTTACAATTTTCAGTTCTATAGCTTATCCAAAAGCATTGTAATCTTCTAGTACAGTGAAGGATAAAATAAACATAGAAATCATAGATTTCTAAATAAGACTCTTAGTTATTTTTTAAACTGTTTACATTTTTGTAAAGTTTTTATTTCAAGAATGTCATTTGTTTCATTCTGTAACCCAAATAAACTTTGTAATAATCTTATTTCATCCTTTATTGTTGTTCAATGACTTTGTTGCTACTTATTCCATTGAACTCCCTTTTTTTTTCATACTACTCACTATTGTTTTGCCTGTTACAACACTTGATGTAGAAAAAAAATAGATTCAAAACAACCTGGTGAAATTGTTTATTTTCTTGTGTATATTCTTTTTTTATTTTTTTATTTATTTGCATGTTCTTAGGGATCACGTAATCAACAAGATTATGGACACTTGCAGCAATTTCATGGATAAATAGTTTGGGAAAATGTTTAAAAAGCTGTTGGAGTCCACTTAATGTATCGGTAATACAAAAGTTAAAGGAAACCCTATAAAAGTTACCTTATGTGACATCAGTTTACATGACTACACAAATTTTTTATCTGGTTTCAGCATTTTATACATCATTAGTTATACTTTTGCTTTAGTAAATATTGAGTTTCTAACGTTAGAATTAAGAAATAAGTCATCTTACACTTTATTTTATTGAAGTGTATGGGACCCCCTTCATCATTCAAGGAGTGCTATACCAACAGTCTCACAGTTTATATCTTCATCTGGCTTCTGTTGTTCTAGCTGTTTTATACAGTGTTGCTGATTATTCCTTTAATAAGGAACACAGAGATGATTTTAAGATAGTAAGTATGGCATAAAGTTTGTATTTATCAGGTTTATTGTTAATACATGAATTAGACTTGATAGATGGAGACAATTGTTTAAACTTAAATCATTCTTGAGATCTCTATAAATAATCCAGTTTGTAACTTACCTATTTTTAGTTATTACATTTCACAAATATGTTTGTTTTATGTTATATCCATTTTATACTGTTATTTTAGATGTGCATGACATTTATATTATATATTAGTCTTTATGAATTTAAAGTGCATTGTAAGCTTGATGGTAGAAACAAAAAGTGATAATAAATGAGATTTGACTTTTTTTATAAACAGTTTACAAAATTGTCACTTTATAGAACTGTTTGTTTATTTAGAATGCTTTAGTCAGTTTCCTTGGCCTAGATGTCAGTCATATGCTACAACTGGTACAGAGAAAGAATACCTGAATGATATCTTATGCAAAAGTTTTAAGGTATAAGAAATGGATTGAACACTTTCACTTTGTTCAGGAATTAGTGGGCATTTTCAGGGTTTTGACTTCAAATGTTTAAAGTTACAAATGATCAATTGGGTGTTTGATATGAAAACTTAGACATTGGTATATAAAAAAAAAAAAGAGCATATTCTCTATTCTTATTTTGAAAAAAGATTATTGATTAAAGTTTAACTTCATACTTTTTGGGTTGCAGTTAAAAGTACTATACAATGTGTATACAAAAGGTTGAAATGAATTACTACCTTGTTTATACATTGTTAAGCATTTTGTAAGTAGTGCAATACCACCAAAAGTTGATTGTTTTTGGAAAGAGTATGTAATAGACCTTAATGACACAAAATATTTGTACATTTGGATCATGAGTGTTAATGGATTGAGGATTTAAAATTTCCAATATGGGGATATCCTTTGTACTGTATAATATTGGGAACAAAGAAATGTGAATGATCTTGGGACACATGAACCATCCAGAAAAATATTTGCAACATGTATTCCAGCTGTGGTAAGCAAATGGTGATAATTCGTGAACACAGATCAGTAGCAAAAGATGTCCACATGCTCCAGGAAACAGTACACAACATGATCAAGGAAAAGCTTCATCTAGAAACAAGGCCAAGAGAGTACAGGTTCACAAAGATCAAAGATAAGGCTTACAGTCGTACCTTTTGTTCAACAGTCACGTAGCTTCAGCAGTTGGAGAATGACACAAAGTATACTTGATATTCCATAAGAACACATACTGGTTAAGTCAGTGGATGCAGCAGCTGTGGATTTTTGTGCAATCAGACTGTCCTCATATAACACAATGAGGAGTGGAGTGTTTGGGACATGACAGCTTTACACCAGAACCATTTGCAGAAAAACTACACTGCAGGGCTATTATGAAGATGGATAGTTACTAGATAGAGCATGGACCAGACATGGCAACATGAACTGTAACAGTGATGTGGCTCCAAGATATTTTTTAATATAAAGTACTCAAACCTGTATGTCAAGATATTTTTCACATTTTGTTGGGGTGGATAATAAGATGTGTAATCTCGCACTTAACAATGTAACCTACTATATCATGATCTGGCTGAATTCTGAGAAATGTAAACTCTTATTATCTTAACTTTATTATTGATACTGTCATACATTAGCTTTCTTAAGCAGTTAGTCACAGTATGGATTTTTATTACTTTATGTGAGCTTAGTTTTAATTTTACAACTAGCATTTTTTATTATACTATTTTAATGAAAAAAAGTAGGCTCATTTTAAGCTTATGAAAAGCTTTTGAATAAAAATGTTAAAGAAAAATTACTTATTAAAGTATCTCTCAATAGTCCATTATTTTCCCATGAATAAAAGTATATGGGATGCCATCTGGTGACATTATGTGTGGCTAGAAACTAGAAGAATGATTATGCACAGTAACATGTTCATGAAACCTTAATGAAGTCTGTGTAATGCCAATACTGGAAGAAATTATAAATGTTAGCAACATTTATGATAGACAAACATGAATTTTTACTATAGTACTTGCATTAAATATGAAAGTGTTTTGAATAGACTTGTATAAGTTTGACAGATATTTTTGTTAAATTGATATTGCCATGCAACATTTAAAAAAAAAAGGAGTATACAGTATAGGGATAAGCAGGATATTAATTTTGGTGGGCTAAAATGTTCCTTGAATTATTTTACTCCAGGATAAATAATAATGCATGACTATTTTTTATTTCTTTGTTTTTCTCTTCATGTTAGTAGGCCATCAACTTTACCTTACCCATGCACAGCTGTTATGTAATTATAAGGGTTACTGGTAAATTATATAGTAAATGTAACAAACGAGTATGATTAGCCTTAATATGAAAATGCAGCACTTTCATCACTGAGCAAACCGATTGTTTATTATGATTTGGAAAACAACCATTTACTAAAGTTTCTATGAATTTTGTAATGCATTGTAACCATTAATGATTCTGATGATTATATTTCAGGCTAGAATGGTTATTGGTCTAGTTTTTGTGAGCATTAATATATATCTAGCTGTGAAGGTCACCACTAAGATCACTTGGACAGAGTTTTTAATAATAGGAGCTTCAGATGGGATGTTATGTAAGTTGTTGATTTTTAATTTTTCTTATAGTACAAGAGAAATACAATTCCTATTTGATTGTTACTGTTTTGTTTGCAGACTATCCACATTCAACATTTTCAGTGTTTTATTTTTCAATATGATTTTAGTTCTTGAATAGCAGTTTTAATTTTTCCATAAACTACTTGAATTATGTTTTTAGGACACTTTAGGGTAATACAAGGGAATTTGTGCCTTATCTGGGGAATGTATATTAAGAATAAGAGATTTCTTTAACTTTTATAGGACCTTCTTTTGATTCAGTCTTCAACCATACTAAGATTTCAATTCATTTCTTTTTGTTTTGTATTTGAGCTGTTGTGATTTTAAACTGCCATATGACAGTTGATTTAGTCTATATCATGAGTTTTATACATATATTTTTTATTTTATAAAGGCATCTATAAGAAGTTGTGCTATTTCCTGATGTTGTTGAAGCTGGATCTAGAAGCAGGAGTAAGTTATTCTGTATCACAGTTAATAGTGAAAAAGTAGGGGAACTAATGCTCTTAAGTCTTGGATTATTAAGTAGTAAGTAAACTAAAGTATTTAACACTATACATTGACCACTTTTTAAAAATAATTTACATCTTCAACAAAACACTTTGTTGGACAATAAAGATGAAGCCTGTAGGCCTTGGCAAAGTCTGTGCGCCAGGTCACCATGGCGACTAAAGGTTTCATCATGGTGCCTAGTATTTTCTCCCATTTTATTTGTGCGTAGGACTGAGCTAAACAGAACTTGAATCAAGAACAGTTCTGTACCCTTGGAAGTCCGGAACTACTTTCACATTCTTTGAGTCCTAAATCAGATTTTGTTTTCTAGGATTTTAATGGTGGATTCAGCACGTTTTTCACGTTTTTTCAGGAAAGAAGTGCTGCAACTACACAATGCATTACTAATTTTGTGCCATTTTGTTTTTCTTCATTCTCTCAATTTAACCAGTCATTGCATATGTTTAGACTCGGAAGAAAGGCAGTTAGTTCAGGCGGTACTATTGGGTGTTTGTTGATATCATGTGAATGTTAGAATGCACTCATTGCTGTGAAAGTAAATATATGCACACACTAGTGCCTCAATTATCTGTGCTGGTCCGGGGAAAGCAAAAAATCGTCAATTATAGAAATGGCAGATATTTAAGGAACTAGTGTATCTTACTAGTTAGCTTATTGTTTAATCTAAATAAAATTTCTCAATATATTTAAGTTCCTTGTTTTAAATTATAATCTTTTTCATTTCGTTTAACCAAATTATTATGCAAAATTTTAAAAGTTATCACAATCATCATACTCAAATGCCAGTCATATGGTGACTGATTCCAATTCCACTTTTTTCTCCTGTAATACTTCATCCTTTGGTTACCTGTTCCTGTTGAATTTAATTGCTAACATAGGTGTAAATAGCTCCTAAATTTTGGCATTTTTCCTGCTATAGACATGGAAGTACATTCACACCCTATCAACAGCTGTTAAAAATAATTCAAAAATTAGCACAAATATATGCTTTGAAATTATTGCGAAAAAGTCTTTGTTAAAACAAACTGAAGATACTAATTATCTGTATGGAAGAGGACAATGTGTAACTGGGCAACACCCCAACACATCCTGAACATGCATCTGTGATTAAAGGATGCCCACCATGCAGCATAGAACAGTGGATGACAACTGAAGTTGAGTGAAATCTTTAAGAAATCTGTGTATTTTGTGTACTATGTTTTTAATCACTATACAAATAAAGGTAACCAAACTACAAATATTTTATATTCCTGCCTTAACAGGTACAAATAGCTAGGCTTGAACTGGCCGATTGAACGCATTTGATTTGAACACATGCCAGATCCTGCATGCAAAAACCTCGGTTATCTTGCAACACCTGAAATTTTGCAAATAAAGTTAATTTCTGAGTGACAATTTCTCCAAAAGATTTAAATTATTGTCTAGAATTGTAATGGCACAATTATTTTGAGAAAATGTGAGTAAAAGAAAAACAATGGATAAGAGAAACATGGATAATCAAGGCACTAGTGTAGCCTCCATTTTCTGGTACAAACAGTAGTGAAGTTAGGTTAAGCACACCTGGCTCATACATATGAATATATGTATTGAGGCCTGATCTAAGCTGTAGGCCAGCTTACGATGTTATGAGCAAGATAGATTAAGCCTTATAATTATCTTCCCTACAATTGATAAAAGATAAACAAATAATTTTATATCCTCATATCTGCCCACTCGACCAAGGGCAGGATCCATGGAGGTCGATAGGCCTCCTTCTTGTAAAGAAAACTGTGGTTGTAAAGAAAAGGGTTCTCTGCCCAGTTCTCCTCCACCTAAGAAAAATGTCCACTTTGATACAGTAGAACTGTAGAGGTTTTCGTTCTATTCTGGATGACATTAAGGTCTTGATCGATTCCTATCATCCCATGTGTCTTTCCTTACAGGAAACATTCCTCAAACCTGTCAATACAGTCACATTTTGACAGTTTTTTGTCATACCGGAATGACAGGCTGTGTGATGGACAAGTGGATGGAGAGGTAGCACTATTGGTCGAACGGTGCATGCCCACCTTTTCGGTGTCACTTGATACACCCTTGGAGGCTGTAGCCATCAATGTTTTCTTTGGTCATACCATCACTCTTTCTTCTCTTTACCTGTCTCCTGAAGAGACTTATGATCAATCAGACCTCATTGAACAGTTGTCTCCCTTTTTAATCCTGGGAGACTTTAATGGATATGATACCCTCTGGAGTGGTGCTGATATTGATGTAAGGGGTTGTTCTGTAGAGTGTATGGTCTCGGATCAATAACTTTCTCTCTTCAATACTGGTTCTTATACTTATTTCCATGCACCTAGTCAGTCTTTTAGTGTCATTGATCTATCTATCTGCTCCTCTTCACTTTTCTCTTGCTTTTCTTGGAGGGTTGACAATGACCCACAAGGCAGTGATAATTTTCTTGTTATTTTCATGGAGATTGGCTGTGGTCAATGCCACCCGACCTGAATGCCACAGTAGAAGTTGGACCTGGCCAACTGGCTTTCTTTCACCTCTCTCTTGGAACTTGATTTTGCTGTCGTTAGTCTTCCATTTATTAACAACTGTGTGGAGGCAGTAACTGCCTGCCTCATTCAAGCAGCTGTTCATTCTATACCTAAAACCTCGACATGTTTCCCACAGTATCCTCGTCCATGGTAGTCTCTAGCCTGCTAGCAGACACAAGGCTCAAAAACAGGCTTGGGATACTTTTTGCAGGTATCCCACCCTTTCCAACTGGCCCATGCTTGGCAAGGGATCTTTGATTAAATTTACAACTAGTATCTCTTCTACCACTAGTTCCAAAGTCATATGGGACAAAATTCAGAAGGTCAGTTAGAGGTATTCTTCCTATTCCCTTTCCATCTTTCTTCTCCAATGGCCAGGAAGTTGCTGATGTACAGAACATCACTGATACTCTCGGTGAGAGCTTTTCTCATGCATCAAACACTTCTATTTCTTCTCCCCCCTGCCTTCTTGGCCATCAAGTCTCACGCAGAGCGATCACCTCTTTCCTTTCAAGCTGATCGTCTCTACGATTATAATCGACCCTTTTCACTGGTGGAATTGAAGATTGCTCTTCATCAGTCTGGCAGTACATCAGTCGGACCTGATGATTTTCACTATGAGATGCTGCTTCATCTCTCTCCTTCCTGATGCTTGGTGCTAGGCTATTGTTCTCCCTTTCTCTAAACTTAGAAAGGATCCCAAGATTCCTTCTAATTATTGTCCAATTGCTTTGACTAACTGTCTCTGTAAGGTCTTAAAGAAGATGGTTAATGTTCATCTTGATTGATTCTTTGAATCAAACAACCTCCTCTTGCTCACCCAGTGTGAGTTCCATTGATAGTGCTCCACTATGAACCACCTGATCTGACTTGAGACCTCGATCAGGAAAGCCTTTCTCGAGAGGAAACATCTTGTTTCTGTTTTCTTCGATTTTGAGAAGGCTTACAACATGACGTGGAGTTACAGCATTTGTTATCATCCTACTGTTGCTAACAGACTCTATGTCGAGAACTTCCACATCTCGTGTAGGTTGTCGAACATGAGATTTATTGAGCAGCAACTTCAGACTGCCCTCAATCACTTGTTGAAATGGACCACAGCAAATGGTTTTACCTATTCTTTTCCAAAACATCCTCCATGTACTCTCTTCCACCTCTTGTGGAGTGGATCAATGTTTTATGCTTAAGATCTATTGTGCCCTCATTTGATCCATACTGGTCTATGGTTCTGCCAGGACCTCAACCTTGAAGATGTTGGACCCATTCATCATCTGGGGCTTCAGCTCTGCATTGGTGGGGGGCTTTCTGCTCTTCTCCAATCCAGAGTTTCTTCACTGAGTCCCACAAACCTCCTCTTCACCTCTGCCATTTGTAACTTTCTATACAGTATGCTACCAAGCTTTGATCTTTACTACAGCATCCCACCTGGGGTTGTGTCTTTCTTCCTCAGTGGGTCATGCTCTTTCAGAATAGATGGTCTGCAATTCCTTCTTTTAGCCTTCGACTCAAAGTGCAACCGGCTGAATTGGGTCTGACAGTGGATAACGTTGCTGTCTCCAATGATCAGCCCATTCCACCGTAGCTTATTACCATCCCCAAATGTGGCCTTTCTTTGAGTCATCTGAGGAAGGTGGATACTCCCAATTGTAAGTACTGTCTTCTTTGCTGAACATCTTTAAAACCATTCTTCTATTCCTGTTTATACAGATGGTTTGAAATCAGGTGACTCTGTAGGCTCTGCCATGGTTTGTTGTGGCTCAGTAGCTGCTCTCAGGGTCCCCTCTACAGTTTCTGTGTTCACTGCCAAGGTATATGTCATTTATGATGCTCTGGATCATGTAGAAGCTATGCAGTACACCGATTGTACTATTTACACTGACTCTCTCAGCTCTCTACTGGCCCTGGAATCACTTAACATTCTCACCCTGTTCTTGTTGATATTCAACAATAGCTGGCCCATTTTTCTGTATCTTCTATTAGTATCCAGTTTTTCTGGATACCTGGCAATGTCAGTATTCACGGAAACAAGCTTGCTGACACCGCAGCTAAGTCCGCCTGCTCAGGTGCCGTCAGAGCCGTGCCTATCCCATATATGGACTACAGTCCTGTATTCAAGGCCCGGCTGTGCACCAGTTGGCAGTCAACTTGGTGTGAGCAACGTCATAAGCTTTTCCAGATCAAACCTTCTATTGCTCTTTGGCTGTGTTGTTTCTGTAACGATTGGAAGGAGGAAGTTGTCTAGGCTAGGCTACGCATTGGTCACAGTTTTTTAACTCCTTTTCTCTTATCTGTGTCTGATCCAGCAATGTTTGGCCTTTGTGACACTCAAGTCACAAAAGCTCACATTTTACTGTCATTATGACTGAGTGGCGGCACCATTTTAGATGCATGTATTCTAAGATTTTAGTCCTATCATTGGATGGTGTCATTGGTGATGGTGACACTGTCCTACTTTATTGTATTTTTAAATTTTTATGAGCCATTGGCCTTTTTAATTCTATTTAAATGTTTTATGTGAATTTTGGACATTTAGTTTTAACTCAAATATGCTTACATTTTGTAAAAAAAATTACTTTTATGGCTTTTACTGGTTGTTTGGTGCAGATAGCCTAGTTCATTTGCACCAAAAAATGCCAAACAAACGCTTTCACATTGACTACCATTATATAATTGGAGATGCTTTCTCAACGAAAAAAACAACAAGCATAATAAACTGACAGTGAACATATTTTTAATGATAATTTGGATTTAATAAATTTATCAATGGCCTATATTATTTGTTTATCCCAAAAATTAAGTACTATATATTCAAGAAAGTGGAGTTGTTGACACAAGGTGATGGTGTGGGTGGAGGGTATTGTATGATCTTACTGGCTAGTAGGAGAAGGGGCAGAAGGATCTGCTTCACAGCTGTTATCTTGTGCAGGAAAAACCACTGGAGCAGGAGTGTCAACATCATTGTGGCTAGGAAAAGATACACCTAGAAGCAGTGGTGCAGGCTTTGGTTGCCTGAAGAATGCTGTTAATGTTGTTTACTTAGCATGCTTACTTTTTTCCGTTATATAGTTCTTTATACAAGGTTAGGGCACTTTCAATATTGCATTCAAGTTTAAGTCTTCAAGCACAATATGGGTCATTTTTAGTCAGGATTTCCACAGCTTGATCAAAAAGGGAGAATGAATCTGACAGCGTTTTCTGTGTTAAAAACAATTATGCCACTGGTTCCTCGTCTTCTCTCACTTTATCAGTAGCCCATTCTTGGTTAATTATCATAAGTTCTTTATTGGTCAATTGTTCATGGTGTGATGCCATTGATATCTTTCTCTTCAATTTCATTAAACCCAACCTGACGTGCTAATGACATGATTTCATTAACAGGTTCTGTATTAGGGACACCTTGAAAATCATTCACACATTATGGCCACAGTTTTCTCCAAACTCAATTCATATTTGAGGTGATAACTTCTTTCCAAAACTCTGCTATGTTGTCTATGGTGACCTTGACGTTGAACGATTTCTAGAAATCTCCGATTGAGGTGTTTCTATCACTGTCTACTGCTCTAATCATTTGTCTGAAGATGCATTGTAAGTAATCTGCTTTAAAATTAGCTATCACCCCTTGATCCATGGATTGGATCAAAGAAATGGTGTTCGGGGGAAGAAATTCCACATGAATGTTTGTTGATAAATCAGTTAGGTTGATAGGGTGGCTTGGTGCATTGTAGACAAGCAGCAGTGCTTTATGGGAAAGATTTTTCAGAGAAAACTATCTCTCCACTGCAGGGCAGAAAATTTGGTGAACCAATATTCAAATTGTTTTTGTTGTTCAAACCTTCTTGTTGGACATCTAAATGACTAGCTATTTGGTCTTGCCACACTCCTAAGGTGCCCGTGGATTCTTAAAATGGTGGACCATAAGGGGTCTCAACTTGAAATCCTTCTCTGCATTGCCTCCCAGAATTAGGGAAACTGTCTTTGAAAGCTTTGTGATATGGTACTGTCTTCTCTTCCCTTGACAAGAGTGTCCTCTCTGGCATGTTCTTCCACTATAGACCAGTCTCATCAACGTTGCAAATTTGGTGGGTCGTAGATATCCTCCTTGTTTGATAATACCTTTTAGAACTGGTACGTACCCTGCTGCTGCCTCCTGCAAAGCCATATTAGTCATCAGTGAATCCTTCTGCTGCTTCATGCCATCCACCTATAGAACTAACAGGCATTTAATTTTTTCCATTACATCAGGGCGATGCCTAGTTAATAATTTAGCAGATGCACGTATTGAAGGCTTAGCACTTTGGATAACTTTTTCTTTCTTGATAGTTGCTATAGTTGGTGGTGAGAACTTGAATGCCTTTGCATTCTCTGTGAGTCTGTGCCCTTTTATCCACCCCATTTAAGCTACAAAATGTTGTGTAAAATTCTATGTATAATTTCATCATTGAACTTCTCCTCAATCTATATTTTTATATCCTTCAATCTTATGGAACTAAAGAGTAATCAATGAATATGCAAGAACATCTGGCCACGCTCACCTTTGACTTGCTGTAATTTACAATTCGCTAATACATTTTTTTGATGCCAAGACCTATTAAGTTTATAACCAATAGAAAGCCTGGAATACAACTGATTGATTAAAATATGACCTTACAGATAATTGACAATTTAGCTGATAAGGAAATTATTTTTCCCACAAGAGCATAGTAGCAGAGTTAAAATTGAATTTCTAATGGCTCAACTCATATAAAAAATTTATCACAGAAAATTATTTCTCAGCTGTTCACATAAAATTATTCTGTGTTCTTCAAAAAATTGTTTTGTGGGCCAGTAGCATTGATGTAAAGTATTAGGGTTAACATAGAAGGACAGTCAATAGCAAAAAAATAGGATCACATGGGTGAATGATATATTTCTTGTTTTTCTTATCTATTATTGTCAATGTAACTAAAAAAAATTTAAAAAATCGGGAACTTTTAGGCTGAATAAGACTAAATTAGTTATATATATAAACGATAATGCTGTAAGAATTAAATTTGCAAAAAATACCCCCCCATGGAAATTGAGAACCAGTGTAATAGTTCAACAAGTATTATAAATATCAAATCCTGGATAGGGCTTGAGTTTTGGATTCTCTTATGTTGTTGGTGTTTAGAAATGAGCTTTCCTAAGGAAACAAATACTCGTGTTCTCCATCACATCATGGTTTTGTATGGTATATGTTTTTACAAAAATTGTTATGGTGTGAATGTCGTATACAAGCTGGGGAAGCATGATTATAATTAGAATGGTTATAGAATCTAATGGTGCACTACATTATTGTACCTGAGAGCATAAGTCATCTTCATAAGAGTTGGTAGAAGCTACGAAGGTAGTTAATTTACTAGTTGTATCACTCTTCAAGTAGTACTGAAATTTTTGTATAAGTAATAATGTGATCTTTTTAGTAAGTGTATGCATGTAATTTACTATTTTTTGTTGTTATATTTTAGGTTCTTCTAGCAATTTTCAGTTTAACAAAAGCCTTGGAAAGTAACTTTCAAAATATTGTAATTTTCACTGGGATCACAGTTTATTCACTGTCTTTGTGTGTCATTGGCAGTATTGCTGTAAGTACATTGTTTTTTAAGCACGCACACACACGTGTGCTCAGATGTTAATGTGTCATACTATATATTCTGTCTCTTGGTTTATTTTAAAGCTGTTTTTTTGTGTATATTTATTGTTATTATCCTAGTAAGAGCATATAACTGTGATTATATTACTTGTTGATATTTCAAAGTCTCGGAAAGTAAACTTTACCAGGTAGAAATCTCCGGCTCAAATCCCACTTAACTCTTAATGGATGCTTGTTCTTATCAAAAGCTATGCACCACTTTTAAACTTTTTCAATAAGACTTTTGTAATCATACCATTGTTGAAAGTGTCCTGTTTTTGTGATTAACAGAATCTGAATATTGGGTGAATTTTATTTTTTATTTTTTTTCAGGTTAAAAAGGAATTTAAATTGCTAGTCTTTCTGTTTATAGCGTTGAACTTTGCTCTTCCTGTTTGGATTCCTTTTCAGGTAAGTGTTAAGTGTGTTTGTTTTTCTTTTCCTTGCTCTTATTGCCAAAAAGTTTGGTACTTTGGGTGTGTGTGTGTGTGTGTTTGTTATATATTTATATATATTTATTTATTTAAACTAAATTGGGAAATATACCAATTTAATACATCATGCAGTGCCTGACATGAACACAGAATGTTAAACCATATGGCATATTTATTATTGTTGATTAATGAGTTCTTTTATATGCATATGTTAGTAGCAGTGCTTTAAATGCATGTAGTTTCAGTGAGTTTGGAACTTCTTAAAACCAGGTGTTGTGTTTACTTTTGTTTATTTTAATAGTTAACATTGTACGAGTATTATTGGTAGTTTCTTTTTTCCTTTATGATAAGCACTTGACAATTTTTCTGTGATTTCTTATAGGTTATGTATTTTGAATGTCCGCTACAGAGTAGCTGTTCCCATGAAGATGCTGTTTTGGCATACACAAGACTTGCAACTGGTATGTTGTAAGCTTAACACAAGCTACTTGTGTTATAGTACTTGGTAACTCAATGTTTTTATTTTTTTTTTGTATAGATGATTCTATTGCAAATGGAGTTATGCTTTTAATGTACTAAATAACGATCTTAATATGAAAAACCAGCTATAAAAGGAAAATTGTACCGAAAGTCATTTGTATTTTTTTGTTTATTTTCTATTTTATTTGTGTGTGTGCTTGTTTCAGAACTGATAAGACATAGTGATTTTAAATGTTCATATGAAGTTAAGAAAACTATACTGAACAGAATTTATAATATCCTGAAGTGATTAGGTATATTTTTGTTTTCCCAGATCTAACTAAGGCTAGAATCTCTTAACACATTCTATTGATCCCATAGACCGACCTCATAACCATTTTGTGCTTGTTATTGTTTTCATGCTATAACTTTTAATATAATATAAATTTTAAGTCTTAAGGTTTATAAAGCAATGTTTTTCTTCGTGTCTCTTTTTTTCTTTTTGCATGTTGCCTATCTATCATGCAAAGCAATATTCATTTTAAGATTAAAAATATGCTTATGAATCAGAAAATTTTGAAATTTCATATGTGAAATCTTTATAATGTTGAGATAGTTATCAAATGTTTGGTAAGAAAAACTTTATACTTTATCTGTTATTTTCAGTAATTAATCTCTGTATGGGTTTGGTAGATTTGACTGATCTCGCAACCACCATAAGAAAAATAAAATAATTAGGAAATAAATATAAATTATGCCTCTTTCATTCTAGAATTAACACAAATTAT